GAAATTCCCTATATTATGTGCACCATTGTAACTACGTAATTTACGTAGGTATTTAAATCTTATTGGCTATAAGTAGAGTATTTATTGTTTGTAATAACTAAACAATGACCAACCAATACAATGACTAATCAACTGTGTGCGTAGCTCTGTCCATTTGCATGCATACTACAAATATATATCAATAGCTACACACATAAGTACATGGACGTCTGAAAGTATGTAACCATTTATATATTAATATACGCAAATGGACAGCACAACTAGTGACGTACGTATTTACATAAGCACTTGATTAGTCAATGTTTTGATCAAACGGTTATGACGCTATAGGATTAAATAAATGACGCTTCAACAATATAATATTACATAATATCAGAATATGCAAAAAGGCGCCTTTTTGGGAAAAAATTCATGCCTTTTTGCCGTTTTGCCTGGACATAAATCTGGACATACCGTTGTATCGTATAATTTTTCTCAATCGCATTGAGCAAGAGTTTCTCAAAGTTTTACTCTTTTGCTACAGAAACCATCAAAGTTTTCTGCGTGGTGGTTACCAATTCTGAATTTCCTCTATTATGTGCACCATTGTAACTCCAATTACGTAACTCGTGTTATGCAAAGTTAGTTGACAGCATATAATTATGTTGTCGAATAAATAATTATGGTCAGAAAATTCTGGAACACGTACATATCCTCAAGGCAAAGTATACCCTTGTACAACACGTCGTAAACTCTAATATCTGTTTGCAAACTTGTCACGCTAATCATGCCGCGATCCGGATGTGTTATGCACATAAATCGATATGTAACAGTTGTGTATCGTCGGTTATGCAAAATAACTGAAAATAGCAACAATAATTTGAATTTTGGATTATTTGTCGCATACCTGAATATATAATAAGTCGGTCAAGAACTATTTAGAGTTCTTTACTTCATAGAAATGAGGATTCAGTTACTTTTTACAGTTAACTGGTGTATTTGCATATATTTAAATGATCTCGTAGATTTGGCCGGAATTAACACAGAGATCAAATTTAATACTATCACTTATCCAGTTTCTCACCTTAGTAGCTTACTATCTCCATTTTCTCACTGTTTGATACACCTAATAAACTATAGATATTTAGATATCCCCGAATCAATCAAAATCCCACTAGTCCTAGAAATATACCCGAGCCAGAAGTATCAGAAGAAATTAATACGGCGACAAAACGACAATTTTAGGTGGAGATGCGTTTTTCATGGGTTTCTGTATCCACCAATGCCTAAGGGCTCGCCACCTGCAAGCCTATTCAAGTATTACTCATTTTACACAGAATTTTGGACAGGACCCGTCAAGAAGGAACGATTTTCTAATATTTTGAGGCATCGGGACTACTATGTTTATTTCACGAATAGAAAATCTAGTCGAAATTGGGTACAATTTGCGCAAGGGGTCCAAGAAATGCAGGGAACGGGCGGTATGCATTCTATTATACAACTTACTATGCGATGGTGTGAAGTGCAAGTGTCCAATTTGGCTAAAATTTTGGAATTGTGTTGTCCAAGTCAATGCAACCAACGTTTCTTGGGGAACGTTGTACGCTGTTTGGAAATTGTCAAAATATTAGAGGTTAAAGTTGAAAAAATTAGGATTTTCACCCAACAGATGAGGAAAACAACACTTTCATGCAAAAAATCGTACTTTTTCAACCTTAACCTGTTTTTACGATTTCCAACTAGCACACAAAACGTGCCTCCACAAGATTTGCTGCATTGACTTGGACCACGCAATGTTACAATTTCGCGCAATATCAGAGAGTGATACTTCCCGCCATTGCATTGTTAGATTACTCTCGGTTTAATTTTACCGCAAAGTCTGTACGTCAAGCGTCCAATTTGTATTTTGGTTTTGACCGATTGAATAATATATTTTAGGTCAATCGCATTCCGCAGTGATCTACACGCCTGAAGATAGCATCTTTCCAGAATGGCATATATCCTGTTGTACTTGTGCCAAGGCTAAATTCACCTTCCACCGACTACCGGCTGGGGCACCATTAATTAAACAGTTTCTCAAACTAGCCGCCACTATTCATCCCGATAGAATATTCCAAATACGCGATCCCTACTCTCAAACGGCGATACTAGCCATCCAAAAGACCACCTTCCCAAACTTTCTCACCGTTTCGACAAACTCCAATATCGATATCACCACCTTTTCCGCAATCTACCCCAATAACAGCTACATCTTTGAAGTCCAGACCTTTATCACGAGCAGCGACTTGAAGGCACCGAGAAGAACCACGATTCAAATAAATACCGCAACACACATCCCAATTGTTCGGATGGCTGCCGAATCTCACAGATTTCTTACTTGTGACGGTCTCCTTAATGAGGCCGGTTCCGGACTCAGTAGTTTTTATCATTTTGTTTCAGCCTACCATTTCTGGCCCTGGTTTGCCCTAGCTATCCTAACGTTAATAACGGCGGCAATTTTAAAAATAATTTTTAACCTGACAAAAATTAGCTGCAACAAGATCCTGTTTTTAATCGGTCTTCTCGTGGAACAAGGAATTGACATTACCACTCCATTCAAAAAGTCATGGTCTTTTATATTTGTCTTGGCGCCCTGGCTGCTGATGGGCGTCGTCCTCAGTAATGCGTACAAGGGGCAAAACGTGACAGATTTAACATCCCCACTAAAACCTATTCTGGTTTCGAACTTTAAGCAAATACTAGCCCAAAATTATACCCTTTACGTACCCAGTTTAAAAGATTACGACTTAATTTCTAGAACGTTTAAGGAACGGAAAGAAACCATCCGGATTGGTTCCAGGCTGCATATTTCGATAATGGAATACCAAAAAATGGAAAAACGTTCCAATGATACCTTAAGGTTTTTGAAGAAGCTAAAATCCAGGATATTTGTTATTCGAGACCGCCACAACATGAGCCTCCTAGAAGCAATTAGTTCGTGCAATAAGTCCGCCATAGTCCCGTACGGAAGTTCCATAGACGAGTATGAATCCCAGTTGAAATTTTTGCGCCCAAATTCGCATGTTGTGAAAAGTAGGGAAGAATTCTATAAAACCGAGCGTGGTTGGGTTATAGATTATGGAATGGATCCGCAGCTAGAGGCCAGATTTTCTGCCTTATTTCAAGGCGGGATGATAAATCTTTGGCGGGGATATATCCAGTTTTTAAGAGCGATTAAATTTAATGGGTTAAATCGAGCATCGGTTAGTGGAGGGGATGCCGAGAAGGTGAAACCGTTACAGATTGGGGGTAATTTTATCGTTGTATTTTATCTTTACTTCATATTTATTTTAGTTTGTAATTTAGTCCTGATTTTTGAACGTTCAGTGGGGAGGTTCAACAGAAAAAAGTGAGGTTAAGCTATGCAATTTCAGTGGGGTGATTGATATACAATCATGCTGCCCTTACAGAGAGACATAAAATCATTATCAAACTGCTGTGCTATGCAAGTGCATTAAATCTCTGACAAAACAAAATAAAACGTAAAAACTAATGCCATCAACTATAAATGATTCCATAAAACGTAAGTAACTTCATTTGCAACTATTTTGGACCGAGCTATATTTGTGTGATAGAGTTGTGCATCCATAGAAAGATACATAAATCTTTAATATGAACCATATTTTACTTTCCATTATGATAATCAAATTCCTATTCTCGCGGCAGGGCAAGATGCGATTGGTACATGAGTGAAATATTTAATTTCGATATTCTACAATGCTCACGTGAAGATCCTTATTTTTACTCATAATGCACTCTAAAAAGATCTGAGTAAAATTTAATCAATTTTGAGTGAAATTGCCACTAGGACAACTAAATATTGAGTAAAAATTACCCACTTAAAGTTAAAATTTATCCAACTTTGAAAGATTTTTGCTCAACCTTGAGTAAATTTTAACTTTGGCGGGGTAAATTGTACTCAATAGTTGCGCTGGTGCCAATTTTACTCAACTTTTTTACAATGTGTGCGTATTTATCTTTTTACCTATTTATTATCGAAATAATGAACTGTATTAAGTGCAAATATGTAAATGCATGGGCACCCATTGACCGGATTTATTCTCCCAGGTCATCTTCTTCCGTTGTCCTGCTGACCGACGGACAGACAGAAAGCCTTTCCACAAAGTCGCCCAAGCTAAGTACTGAATGCCTAAAAATAATGACTAACCAATACAATGACTAATCAAGCATTTGCGTATCGTTCTGTCCATTTGCGTACATACCACAGACATATATAAATAGTTACATACAAACGTCTCCGTAAGTATGCAACTATTTATATATTTATGCACGCAAATGGACAGCAGACCTACTTACGTACGTACTTGATTACTAATCAATGATTAGTCATTGGATTGGTCAAACTTTTTCCGACAGGTAAACGTTTTATGAATATGACGGTTTAAAATTAAGTATATGTATGACGCGTCATCAGGAAATCAGTATGACGTTATCTAAACTACCTAGTAAACGAATGCCAGAATATGATATGCACACTCTAAATAATTTGGAGTCGAATCGTCACGACAGTAACGATTAAGGGGACGTTTTCTCACCATAACTTATGGTCCACAAGTAAACAACTCGTGTACCAAAGACACGTGAAAAAAATAATATCTTCATTGTTTGAATAGAAAAGTTTTTGAAATAAAACTAATATTTTTTTTTTTTTTACTTAAGTATGTTTCGAACACATATTTTTGACCTATTTCCCGTAGGTGATAAAACGTCTACTTAATGATTACCTAATACGGAAACGAAACGGAAACGGAAGCGGAAACGATTTATCTCCAAATTATTTAGAGTGTGTGAGAATCATATCTCAAGTACTTATCTAAATTGAGCATGTTTATTTCAGGTGCTGATAAGCGAGGATAAAAGTATTTATGAATCACATTACGTGGGAGCATTTATGAGTATTTCCATGTTTATGCAGGTATATAAATGCAACATGTGGCTCTAGTGAAACTTCAATCTGACCATTGCTACAAACGACAAAAGAACATTTCGTTTTAAAATGGGGCTCACAATTTTTGCATATTTTGCGGCTGGTATAGGTATTGCTATGGTTGCTTTGCGAATTTTCTTTAAGGTGAGGCTTCCTTTGTTCTATGCACATATCAGTATTTCTTAACCTTTTAATTTGATTGGAGGACAATTGTCGTTTTCTTGGAAATGGTTTCATTCGGGAGGAAGACAAAAGTCGGCCTGTAAAATTGTGGTCATGGTGCGGTAGGAAGACAATTGTCGTTTCCCGAAGGTCATTAATTTTTAAGATTTTCTTTCTTCGGCGAAAATCTTTTGTCATTTTTTGGGGAGTTCTCCTATGCAAATCAAATGTTAAATTTGAACATTTTCTTGCTGAAAAATGGGATATTTCCCGATGCAACGTAATGTTAAATTTGGAATCTCTCAATTTTTTCGAGTTTTATGAAAACTACTGAATTCCTCCACCCGCACCATGATCACGACATATTTACATATAATGTGCGGCACATTAATTTGGGCACATCATGTGTCCAAATTCTAATCATTGATTGTTAATGCAATTTCGTGCAGTTAATTATACTCCTTAAAGGCTTAATTAAGTATCTAATTATTTACGTATTTCGACTCGACAAATGCAAGCAATTAATTACTCACATATATAGAAACTAGTTAATTACGTTTCTTTGTCCAGTTATGAACCGAAATATATTCAACAATTGTAATTATCTGTAATGGTTAACTACTCCTTCTATGTGGCAATACCTAAATTTAGCAAACAATGAATAATTGACAAAGGGAACTTGATTAACAATCAAATGCAAAAATTTGTTGCAAAAAAATACGATTGCAAAAAATTAACCTCGCAAATTAACATCTTTTGTGTACAATAAACATTCAAAGTTTAAACTAGACTGATAAGTTAATAAAATCAATTAATTACTTTGAAACTCAAGTTAGGGGAAGCAATTAATCAGTAATTACAAGTAATGAAATTTACGTCAAATACTCCACTTTTTGTTGAAATAAATTTAGCCGTTAATTACTATAATACTGCTATGTAAACACTATCTTTATAAATACATAAAATAAATTTTTACTTTTTTTTACATTTTTACAATTAAATATTTTGATTTTGCAGTACTCATGCTGTTCCAGAATGCACGAGGAGACCCTCGAAACTGAATTCAATCATATCCCTGATGCTCCACTTCCAAGCGCTCCTGTTAGTGACGTAGAAATTTGCATATTGCAAAACGAGCCGCTCCCAAATTACGACTCGGTCATATTAACTGATCCAGTTGAATCAACTCTAACTCTTGTTGACGAAACCTGTCCACCTCCAAGTTATGCAGAATATTTACAGAATTATGGTTTAACCAGATGACAATTATTGGCATTTGTATCATACAAATTGTACAAGAGAAATAAAAACCCAATTATATTTAATTTTTATCATTGTCATGCACTATAAAAAGTCCGGTATAGTTGCATAACACTCCGCTCTGGTACTGATTAGATAATACTAATACTAGTACTACATGTTAGTACTACAATAATAGTTTTAGTATTCATGAAATCATTACCTCAAGTTATATAAACTAATTTGCCATAAATCAAAAGACAACATTTATTCGGGCCTAATTAATTCCTCATTTATACTATTTATCATATTTTATTTATATTTATGTATATATTAATATATACTTATTTTTATTTATATATATTTAATATATTTATTATTTGTATAGTTTAAATCGGTGTTAGAGGACATACTAATTGATAAAGTATTTATTATCTTGCAAGCTTTCGAATTAACATACAGTTATTTTTCATCAGGCAAAGTATTATCGAGACTAAAAATCATGTCAAGTTTCAAATTCAATTCGGGAAATGTGTGAAATTGTTTGTTGACTATGTGCATATATGGTTACAGTGAAAGCAAATTTAATTGGCTCAAGGGCTATTAATATGGAGTCCATATTATGGACATTTTAGAATTTTTGTAAATGTGGACAACCAAATGGGACTGACTTTTGAAATATTCATTTTGTTTTCAATGCTTCTTATGCGTAATGCTTCCTTAAATTCCAAGTAATAATACTCTGCCTTATTTCGTCGTCAATAACAAGTTGACCGTGTGGCATGACACCCTCTCCACAAATCGAAGAAAGTAATCCATCCCAATCCCATTCTTCATCGTTTATACAGAACTTAAAAATTCTAAATTGATCGAGTTTGGCAGCAACGTCCCAATCACTCTCCTCTTATATTTGTTTCCTCCATACCTCGCCATTACCTTCTCCACAAATATTTTCCCCTGCGTCGTCGCCATGGCGATGAAGGTGATGGCAAACAGTTCAAAGAGACCGGCCCCAAGTAGCATGGCGAGACATATTCCGGTTACCATGATGGAAACCTGGTTTCCCTGGAGGATTAAGTAATATAAGGAAATTGCCGCCCAAATCACGGTGTAGAAATGGTGCAGGCATGGCATGATTTAAGTAGTTTAACAAAGATCAAGGGATTCTCTGTAATTGAAACTGATCGATTTAAGAGGAGATTAAGAGAAATTTGTTAAGATGTAAGGCAGGAGAAATGTGCGTAACAACTATATATTTCAAATATAATATTTGCAGAGTGACGTATTTATGTAGCGCAAAATATGCACTGAAAATGTTTATCTTTTATCATTATTTATTAGTTGCACTAATCCTAAGTGTAAGTTTAGGGTTTCAATAATCTGGGGATAATCTACATTACTACACAACTAGTATTTACGTGCAGTATCAAAAAACGTTGTAATGAGTATTTGTATGTATCGGCTATACCTTTAATCATGTTTATACCTTTTTATTCAAGCGGTACATATGTAACCGTCAGTATGAAGAAAGTTGCTGTGAAGGTTAAATTTTTGACGTGGACTTGTATAGTTATTTCGAAACATGCAATTGTTTTAATACTAGTTTTAACTTTGTATATTTAATTCCAAAATTTCATGCTATTATTTTTTACTTGTGAAATTGTATTAAATTTATTCTTTCGTACTTTAATTTGCGTAATTCATACGTGGCGTATAATACGTCGACTGAATGTTGAATGTTGCAAAAGATTTTATAACATTCATAACATCGATAGTATGAATTAGTCAAACATTAGTCTTGTCATTCGATTATTTATTGCTCGACGAAAGCGATTGGTATGACTCGCTAGTTCAACATAGAAAAAATTCGAGCTAAAATGTAACCAAAACTTCATGTAATAATGATAAAATAATAACAAAATAATTATTTTAATCCCGTAAACTTAAAATTCCATTAAAATCACTAATTAGTAATATATCGGGGTGATATCTGACGATTTACAGGGAAAACTAAACTTATTTTTAACCAATAAGTTATTTACCTTTAAATCGGTTAAATAATTTTTGCTTAATTTTAATAAAATCAATGTATCAAAATCAAAACTTAAGTTTTAAAGCAAGAACAAATTCGATAGCCAACCGTGTTGGTCAAAATGCAACTGAACCGGAAATGTCATGAAATTTTAAGCAGCAGAGAGGTCATGCGGGAAATTAAGCTGATACTAATTTTGTAAAGTTTATCCAACAATCTATTCGTCTAGATCATATGATCTGACTGGCATATTATAGAATTTTGTGAGAGAATAATTGGCTGTGAAATTCTAGAAACACTGGTATTTTGGAGAGTAATGGATGAAGGATTAGTTTCAGAATTTGCTCTTCACGATAAAAAATTAGGGATTAGTTGATTCTAATCCTGATTTGCAATCAGTAATTCTTAACCGATTGTAAAGCACTAATCCCTAATCCGGATTTTTCGCAACGCGGATGAGAGCTAATGGTTTATTACAGGTAATAAAGTGCGACAAAGCACGATACCTAAGTAGCGCAAAAATGGCTTCAGCACTATATCCGTCATTGATAAATACTTTTTTCCAACTAAATAAATTTAGACAATGCGTAGTACACGTTTTGTTTAGATTGGCGGTGTGATGATGTGCGAGCTCACTATAAATCTATGCTGATTCAACGATGATTGTTGTGTGCTTATAGTCAGCATCGATTGAGGAAAGATTTTTCGTTTCCGATTCTTTAAAGAGCAATAAAATATTTATCTACGCCGTTTCTTATGTGGTAAAAATGTAAGGATAGGTAACGAAATTTAGTTGGATGAAATGAAAGATTTATCAGCGCTTTTTAGCTGTTGAAATATAAATAATTCTTCGACGCCGTTATTATAGGGTCAAACCCTATAATGGGAATGCTCTGTCCGTCCGTCCGTCTGTCTTTCTGTCTGCTATCTCTAACTAATGAACGGATTCGAATTTCGACATGCGGTTTTCGCCGTTGTGTTTCTAATTTTTAAAGTACAGACAGGTTCGAAGATGGGCGTTGTAGGTCGTAAGGTCACGGCGCCATGGCGACAACGCCGTGTCGAATAGGTATCAAATTTTTTGTTTCGACAGTTTTAGACGTATTTTGGTACGGGGATTTCGAAAATCGACATGATTTCGTCGTACGATGACCCCGTGACCGTGTAGACGGGAATACGACGTGGTTTCACCCTATTGCTACATTTCGTTTGCAACGGTTTATTTAAAAGATTTCCTTTGGCGGTGTATAATTTCAACCCCAAGCTAAATGAATCAGTGGTAATAGTGTATCCCCGTTGATCCCTAATTTCCGGACTCTGGTACATAAACGTCCCCGCTACGCCGAAAACCCTCTCATCTCTTTGGCATGCCACTGCCAATCCAAAGTCGCCCACTTTCCACGTCAACCCACCAGAGGGCTCGACCTTAAAAAAAATATTTCGCCCAAAAATTAAGGTCATCGACAGTGCTATAATCTTGCCCAACCTTCAGTAAGTTGCAGAAGGCAAGAAATCCAAATCTTGTTCATTCCATTGGGAAGCAAATCCAAAAACCAAATTTTTTATTTTTTTAAACTGAAATCTTGTGTTTAATAGTTGAAAATCAACTGTTGATTGTTGTTAATGACAATTAATTATTGAAACAGTTCTTCACACGAAACGTAATTATTTTAATGTGTTGCTCGATAAGCTAAATAGGTATAAATTTTTTGGTTTTGTGTAATTTAACCCGCTTACGTATAAATTGCGTACTACTCAAATTTGTTACTCTGCTTGTATGCTCCTTGCCAGACATATGTACAGTAAGCCCAAAATTAAATCTTACCTTTCATATTTGTAATCGCCATATGTCCTCGTGCTTTTAGAGATTTGAAACTCTATCGTATCAACTATGTAACTGGCGAATAATTCTGCGTCCTAGATTTTGAAGGTTACTGACGGGTAAAAGGATAAATATTAAAAGCCAAAATGCATGTTTTCTTTTTAAAATCGTGACCGCCGTGTAATCCAAAGAATTTAAGTACAGACAAGCATGCATACGCTATCTATGTACTTTTGAATGTTCCAATTCTTTGAGTTTCACATTGATCACGATTTGTGACCTTATTTTTTGGGAAAACTTCCAGTCAAAAAAATCGTACACGGGTGACAATACCTTATTAGCTCACCCTGCGTAGCAGAGGAGCTATTGAATTCCTCTTGTCCGTCTGTCCGTCCGTCCGTCTGTCCGTCCGTCCGTCCGTCCTTCTGTCTGTCTGTTAACGACTCTTTTGCATAAATTCATGCTAATTAGAGCCAGTTATTGGCATTCTTGACCGAGTTATTAGCACCACTGATATCGAACAATCGGCGACTCAAAATGGTGCCAAACAATTGAGGGAACAGATGCAAAACGCAGCAAACGTGCAGAAGAACCGGAAGAAATGACTATAATTTTTACTTCGAATTTGCCAATATTTCATGTCAAAATTACTGTTTGTTTTCCTTCATTTATTTTCCACCATCGGCGCAAAATTATGTCACAATTATGTATATATTTTTTCCGCTTGTTCTGCACCATTAATGCTAACTTATACCAAAATTGCATATCAATTTTATTCGTCTACTCTGCACCATTGGTGGACAATTATGTTAAAATAATTCTCACAGGGTCAGCTACTTCCACCGTTACAACGGTTTATTCGCTCACCCTGCGTAGCAGAGGAGCTATTGAATTCCTCTTGTCCGTCCGTCTGTCCGTCTGTCTGTCTGTTAACGACTCTTTTGCATCAATTGATGTTAATTAAAGCGAGTTATTGGCATTCGTGACCGACTTATTAGCACCACTGATACCGAACAATCGGTGACCCAAAATGGTGCGAAACAATTGAGAAAATAGATGTTAAACGCAGCAAAAGTGCAGAAGAACCGTAGGAAACAACTATGATTTTGACGTCAAATTTTTTAAGGTTTGATGTCAAAATCAGGGTTTCTCTTCCCTGGTGTATTTTGCACCATTGGTGCAAAATTATATCCCAATTACATATATCTTTGTTCCGCATATTCTGCACCATT